CCTAGCACTAGTGGAAATTATCTCTAACGTCACATTTCAGGGAATATCTCAACAACAACGCCAAATATCAACATAGGATAGCGAAAAAACCATAGCCGCAGTTCTGACGAAACGAATGATGTCAGAAAATCCACAAATCACCAAGAATAAACTTGGCAAACAGTGGCCAAATTGACCGGTGGCCAGCACTGTGAAAACTTGCTAGCTGGCCGTAGTACGGTAACTCTGGTCCTGTCGCGACATACAAATTAGAAATGAAGGCGCCTTAATTTCTAATTTGTATTTTGGTCGCACCCTTCTTCCATAAAAGCTGCGGGTTTCGGAAGGGTTAACGTCATGGGCGTACATGAAGTCCTCAACTTTCATGCACTGCTCCACCCAGTTATGCACAAATTCTTTCGGGACTTCCTTCATCGTTCTTTACCGAATTTGCAGTTTAGTACTGAAGCCGGCATGTCCCGTAGGCAAACCCGACGAGTAACCAACACCCTCAAACCAGCATCCCGAGCTTCAACAGTTGGTACTGCATCGCTGGTTTGGCATGCTGCATCCTTCCCATTCGGTCCACCTTCCTCCGTTTGGCACGCTGCATCTGCCTCGGTGACGGCTAACAACTTCCGCACTCGTCTTTCCAGTCTCGATTCTTCCACCGCCTGCTGCCGTCTCCTCTACGCTTTCGCCATAAAACGCTTTGTTGTGTGAAATTATTTTTAAGCATTTATTTCAGTATTCACACATACCTTTTATTTTTTTTTAAAATTATTCTTCAAGTATATTATATGTTTTTTTAAAAGTACACATTTAAGTATTTATATATATTTAAGTATAGTTTTTTTTTGTTCATGTTTTTTGCGTATGTTTTTTGTGCGTTTTTCGTAGGCAGATTATTGGGTAGATAAGGCAGATTATTATTTCAGAACAGACGAGCACTACTATCCACATATAGCATAGTTACTACAGGAAGGACTACGGCAACGATACAAATTATACGCAAGAAATCCAATGCAGCCTTTAGTTTTTACTTTCAGAAAACACTACCTTTCTTTCAATAACATTTCAATAGAGGCATGAGCTCATACTATTTTTGTCGCTCTTCCATTTCCCTTCGTTTTTTTGGTATTTCTTATTTTCCTATTACCTTTACCTCGTTATTTCCTTGTTTTTTAGTAAATTAGGTTTTCGGGCCGTCATTTCAGGACGGCCTAGCTTTCTCAAAGTAGTCTAGACCGCATACTTCTTTCACGAATTCTGTAACTGTTAAGCATGTAGATTCCTACAGTAAGAAAATTGACAGCTATTTCCACGCAGTTAACAAAGTTATCAAAGTAATTAAGTTAAAATTTACGTGTAAAAAACGAAAACGGTTTCACATTTCTGCTAATATCTTGGCAGAAAAGAGGCCAAAAAGCAAGAAATTTTGAAAACAAACATTTTAAACACTGAGAAACAGTACCTCTTTGTTACACCTCATTTACATGTGTTACCCAAAAGTTATGTATACCTTTCCGGAGGTCGCTCGCATAACTTCCGGCCATCCCCGTACAGCACAGTGGCATTTCGCCAAAACTCCTGGGATCTTACCCGAAACAAGGCATTTTCCCGCTCGTATCCTTGGCATGCAATTTGCAATGAAGGCGTGTATAAATCGTCTATTCTTCTGCTTGGAGTCGTCCCAAAAGCCTCTTGTAAAGCAAAAAAACCAGTACCTTCTCTAATGAGGTGTTTGCCTTGTTTAGAGTAGTTGTTTGTTTTTGCTTGCTTAATGGTTGGTTTTTTTTGGTTTCCGAAACATAGTCACAGTTGCCAAAGACTGTCACACATTGAACGGCCAAAATTAATTCAAGTTAGGATGGTATGTTGGGAGGTGAGCAAATTGGCGTAATTTTCAACTACCTCACTTTAAAATTATCTCAGTGCGATTCGTAAACGACGAAGTTCGACCACGCAGCTGGTTCAGATTCAATATTTGAAAGCTGGTATTTGAAAGAACTGCTCGGATTGACAAGACAGGGAATGAATTTTCAAAAAATTGTTACTTCATATGGCCTCCGGTTCTTAAAACTGCTTGAAACAGAAGATTGTTAAGTCTCTAGGTATTTGATAGCAAATCCTTGTATTACTCTTAATCTGTTGCTGAAATATTTGCTTTTCTTAGAATATAATTTAAGTTTGTTCTTGAAATTGTATTGTGTCGTTTTGTTCATTACTTATTCACTCGTGGAAGCATTTTGTTTTTTATATCCAACAAACGAACAGACAAGCTAATTAAATAATTTAGCTACCATCGGTGTTGTTTCGTCTATGCACCGAAAATCCTTGGAACTTTCCCAAACTATACATTTAAAATTGTCCCAACTAATTGACAAATTTGAAGCTGCCCTCCCAATCACAAAGAATCAGTGAATAAGGACCTTATCTGGAAACAGTGAGCAAACTAAAATAAAAAGAGGTACTGCAAGCCATGCTCAATTTTCTTTCACCTTTGACACGTTGTGCTCCAACCTTTTGCAGTTAAAATCGCCTAAAAAATTGTTTTTTAATATATGGGATAAAATGTGGCCATCTAAATCCAGGTAGCCACCGCGTCTCACAGCGGCGCTTCTGTATGTATACGTGCTTATAAGCCTCCTCATTCCCTAATTGTCCTTGAAAATTCTGTCAGTAAAAAGTAGTTCCGTCGCGTTGAATGCGAAACTTGCTATTGATGACTGTGGAACAGTATCCACATTATCAAGATGACACTTCCTGGGAACATCCTACGGTCATCAGAATGCTCCGAGGACAAGTAACTGAATCATGCTAATTTGATTAGGGGTGACCTGTCATGTTTCTGTGTTACACCACTTTTTTTAGCTACGCTGTTTCGCGCAGAAGCATGCTGCAGTCCCTAACAGTTTTTCTCCATTGGGGACAAGCGATCTGGAACCAGCCTATGGTCATCAGAGTCCTGATAACGATCTACTTAAATGCTAGTCCAGTCAGGAGTCGTGTGGTTCACTTCTCGAGTTGCATGGCTTCGTTTGCGCTGGTTTTTATTTTGTTAAAACGCATAGGAAGGAATTTGTGGTATTTTACTGGATAATGCAAATAATACGCGGACCCCGTACATGCTCGTACAGAAATAGAACCACTTCAAAGAAAAAAACATTCGAGAAACTGAACCTTGACCTGTAGTTGAACCAAGACAGTTTAAGTTTATTTTTTCTAGTGAACGTAGGCTAGTCCCTGAAAGGACATCCTGGATGGACGAACGATTTTCTGGAAAAATAAAAACCAGTTAGGCATAAAGAGAAAGTACATATAACTTGAGGAACTGATTCATGACATCTAATCAAACTGCTACAGTTAAATAGTTCGTCCTTGGCGCTATATGTACAAAACAGTCAATCTTCGCAATAAAACTAATTCAAAACTGCAACAAATCCCCTGCTAATGCGAGTCTGGCAAGACTAGACTTCAAGGGCAAATTAGACGTCCATTTCACTCCAGAGCCTCAATTGGGTCTAATCGTGTGTTTGCAACTTTTACCGTCAATTTACATCCGTCTTTTAATTTTTCTGCTCCTTACCAGATTTCAGCAGTTAGAGTTACTTCTGATCCAATTCAATTTTACCAGTTAGGTTTTATCGAAAGTACGGTTCTTTTTTTCGTTTTTTTCTTCCTCAGGTTACATGACCGTCATGAATTTCTCTTTTCTGAGTGTAGTTAACAAATATACAGATAATTATAAGAGCAAATTTTTTAGAGATTTTGTAAAAGAATATAGAACAAGGAATTCAATATTCTTATCACCGGAAGCTTCCTTTACACCCGTGACTTTTGCCAAAAGTATACAGGTCTAACATTAGAAAATAAAAAACGAAACTTTTTCAGTAGTCTTTTCAAGCCGAGAAAAAAAAAGGACTCAGAATCAAAGTGAAAATACATGCAGTTTCACTTTTCTACTGTCGTTTCATGATTAATCTGCTCTTCAGTTTATCTTTCTGGTCTTTTTAAACTGCAAATTAAAATTATTTTATAGATGAAAAGCACTGATTGTTTAGCCTACTACTGAAATAAAACTACGACAGCAAGAACTCTACCCGTCAAGAAAAGCATTGCCCAGACGACCTCAAACTAAAAAAATAAACTGTTGTATTTTATGACTTTACCATTCAGGATTGACCGGCGACTAAACAGAAATAACATGTTCGTCTACAGTGCTGAAAAAGTGCACTTGAGAAATCAGTTTCTTAAAAGTTCTGAACCCCAAAAATAACGAATGTGGCCTAATCTGAAGTAGGCCCTTCCTTTTTTAGTAGACAGTTTCAAACATTTCGCGTCTTTATTTCTCTATCATGAACAAAGCTCTCATTACATACTTGAACCTTTGCAAATATTACTGTTTTTCTCTGGTGCCGTTTCTCGTCTACCTAAAATCAAATATTTTTCCAAACTACTGTGAAATATTTATATTTTAAAAAAGCAAAATATTTGTGCTAAAAAATCTTGTTGAGATTGAAAATTACATGAACGTCTGTCTGTGCAGTATGACTCCTAGGAAGATGAAAGTGATGCCAAGAAAAAAATCTTACTTCTATGCTACTTTTTTTGTTTAGGACTGTCGCTTCCAGTTTCAATTGTAGGATGATCGTCACTATCTCCAGAAATGCGCTTTCTTTTCGATTTCTCCAAGTCCTTCGGTTCCTTACCACTAAAAATTCTTTTCCTGATCTCCTTGATTTCGTCAGTGGGTCTTTCTGTAGAATTTGCGCGTGTTGGATTGTTAAGGCTGTCTTTGAAAAACAATGGGATTGCATCTTCCGCAGAGCGGTCAAAACTGGATTTCTGTTTGGAGAGGTCGTAAAGGTTCTGGAAAATAAGGATGAGTTTTTTGCAAGTCTGAATTCCCTGATAATTTCTCTCATAGCCTCTTACAGATTACTTGACGGTAGAATGAGGCATGAAATATCTGAAACTTATTTAGAGATTGCCGCATACATACCAATCAGCAAAATAATCCCCCAAAAAACATCAAGAAAATGGTATACAATTAGAATAAGAAACCCGACATCCAAAGCCGTAATGCAAGTGAATTAAGGAATCACTTCAACACCTTGAGCTCAGCCATAGTAGTTGCAGTTTCCCATGTTTTATCATCTCTTATTCTCGTCATACGCGGGAACCGAATTGATATACCCATTGCGGTATGATTGTTGGAGCACGAAAATTCAGCTCCTTAACAAATTAAATTCTGTCCGTTTCTGCTTATACTCTAACGAATAAAATATCAAAAATGCATTTTTCTTTTTGCATTCTTTTGAGCAACGATACTGAAATGCACACCTGAAATCTCCCACACTGGCGACGTTTTAACATCTTTAGCAACAAAGTCTGGAACTAACGATTTTGAACACTCCAACCATTCTGGAAGTTCATCATAGTCTCTTGAAATCTTCTTCATCTTAAAAATAATAATTATGAAGGTTTGTCTAGAAGTACATTAACAAGATGGAGAACAATTTTTCAAATCAAACACCAAGGTGAATTATTAACAACCTTTACAAAATTAAACAACTGTATTCCTGAATGAATAAGAAATACCAAACCTTTGGGTTCAGTTCCATATTTATTCGGTCTAGAGTTTCATCGTCATAACCATTCCCACATTTTGTTACGGTCAAAAATTTTTTCGACAACTCGTCATAAACTCCCATCAAAAAAACTGACATCATGCCACCTGAACAATAAGATCAGTGAGCTGCGGTATAAACCTGTATTTTATGGAAGTAACCCGAATGAAAGTTGACAGAAACAAATCCTTATCACAATAAATACTATCTCCGGTTGACTAACCCTTTGTTCCGCTACCATAATAGGCACCTAGAACAATTAAATCTGCAGTATCAGCCATTTTTCCATCGTCCAAATAGTCCTTTTTAACCTAGCGTAAGTTAAAAACCTGTATATGCAGTTATTAATGCGAAAAAAATAAGCTAGAAGAAGTGGTACAACATCTACTTTCAGCCAATGACGTTTGCCGGGCTCGTAAACTGAATCAACATCTTTCAAAACCAGTCCTTCTAAACCTTCATCAATAGCCTTCCATATCATTTCTTTTAGTTTACCACTCTCCTAAAAAGTAAAACAACTCAACTCTAAAAAATAAGAATAAATAATCAGGACAAAAAGTGAAGAAATAACATAGCAAGTAGATAAAAGATACAAAACTGAGAAAAAAAAGTCAAGCAGCTGAGGCAAAACTATTCAGGTCCATGGAAATATACCCCGTTTCTGATCAACTGGAAGTTTGAAAGAAGAATCCGATTTGGAATTTCTTTGATGTTGTTTTGTAAATAAGTTCTTCTTTGTTTCAGTGGTCTAAAAAAACAAATAATGAGAAGTTACGAATTTTCATTTATAATCAAAATCATCGAAGTAGTAAAAAATTTTTATTATATTTATGCCGCAGGGTGTTTCATATTTTCCAAATTTTACCTATTTTTAGTTCTCAATAAAAGGCATATACAAAACTTGAAGTTGCTTAAAAAAACTCCTATAAAACTAAATTTCTTAAGATAATGAACCCAGAAGAATCACTTGGGATATTAAATGAAGGACGAGTTACGAGTGTGATGGAAACCATAACCAAAGAAATATCATTAACGATTTTAAAATTCTGCGGTCAAATATTAATAACTGCTTTAAAACCTTAAAACCACTGGTCCTGTTTTTAAAAGCTCTATGAAAAGTAAAATAAAAGCCATCTTTTACAGCTCTCGTGACCATCAACAAAAACTTTATCTAAAAAACGTTAAAATTGAAAACACTGAAACCACACCTGTCAATGAGTGATTCCCCGTTGAAAAAGAGGCAATCAAAGATAAAGAGGCATACACTGGCATTTTTAAAATTCTCTTTTTTGTGTATTCCTAGAGTCCCAAAAGGTAAAGGCTTCCCAGTAACAGTATCTACCATTAAAACCTCTGAATCCAGAATCATGTCATTTCCGGTTGGAAAAGCTTCAGCTACAGTTGTTCGAAAGCATTCAACCTGAATTTTCCAATCAGCCACAAAGAAATTCAGATCACATGAATAAAGAACTCAAAAAAGCACACCTTATGTTCAGAAACTGGCCTCAACGATCTTGAAAAAAAGGTAAAATTTTCGCCATCTTTATGCAGTTGCACCCTTTCACCGTCATATTTGATCTCACTATACATGTCGCCGGTAAACCTCTTCATAGCCTGTTCCACACTCCGACAAGGTTCGGCCTACATAATCAGAAGCATAATATTAGACGAAAAACAGAAACAAAACATAATCTTTTGAAGCTTACCTTGTGAAATGACAACCGACCAAAGCAACGTGGAAACTCACATATTAAGAAAATACAGGAAAATGCCTGTTTGATGCGACAACGAGTCTTAGCTTTTTTAGGATCGTACTAGCCTTGCTTATTTAAATGTTTTTGAGCTTAATTCATTCATCAAAATAATTCTCAAAAAGTCGGGACCTTAATCCATTTAAGCGAATCAGACATCCCCCAAGAAAAAGAGGTACAGATGTTTGAGGAACTAATACTAGATTTGATAAATTTTATAATCAAGTAGGTATTACTCACCAGCATTGGTTTAACTGGAGTTCCTAACAAAACTTTTGTGTCAATCACTGCATTAAATTGTTTTTTGAAACATGAATCGATTACCATTTTTAAATCACGTGAATTTTGGAAGATTTCATAACTTCCTGGAGAAATGCCTTCTAATCTGCAACAAAAATGAACCAGAAATAAAGCCTTTGTAAAAAATAGTAAATCCCAAATCAAACATGAGTTTTCACAATAAATTAACATACATATGTTTTGCACCAGCATTTATGCGTAGATCCTTTTTAATCAGACGTAAAATATACTGCAGTTCCAATGGCGAAACTCTAAAAATTTTATTAATGAGTAAATTTTCAGAATTAACTCCAAGACATGTTGAGAATATTAAATATTAGGTCCGTTAGTTTCACTCGCATATCTTGTGAGGTTATTGGAGAGAATAGTGTCAGCTCATTCAAATAAGTATTTCGAGAATGTCATTTTCAATCCTGGCTGTATAACTTTTTTTAGGATTGTAAAACAGCAGCAATGCAACCCACAAGTGCTTAAATTACCAGATCAAAGCAACTAAAATAAGAAAAGCAGTTGTACTAGTTTACTCAGATCTTCCTAAGAGATTTATCTTTATCTCAAATTCAGAACTGCTTGCGCACCTGCAGACAAAAACTATCAATAGTCAACTAAGACTCATTGTTCAGTTAAAAGCTATTTAACCGGTAGGGCTCTAACAATGGTTACAACTGAGCACAAAATCTCTGCATCCTCGGTTGCTTCTGTGATGCCCCAAAACAGTCTTATTAGTCCTTCACCATTTAAAGTGGGAAAGGGCGACTTATTTTGTACTTTTTTCTAACGGTAACTTCAAACTTTATTTTCTGTTCCTAAAAAATAACCCAAATGCCGGCTTGCAAAATCCTAATCTGGCAAAGGCTTACGAGTGGACTCAGCAAACGCAATTGTTACGGCCTTTCCCTAAAGGCTAGATTGTAGAACTAAATCAGGTACCAAAGAATTCAAACTATGAATAAAGTGCTACTCATTTGAGATTTAAGATTTTGAGTGATAATGCCTTTTCTTCCGCTGAACAACATGCACTATTGATTTGCAAGGTGTCACGTCCTGTAAATTTCATTTTCAGAAGTGTTCACTTTAAAGTCCCTGGTTCTCTTACCTTTCTCTATAAAGCAAAGACTCCCCTTATTAGTAAATATGAACTTTCCCACAACCTTTTGGACAGAAGAGAATCTAGGCAAGTCGAAAGACGTCCAAAGGCGCTCTAAAAATTTAGCACTTTGAAAGGCTTGATGACTCTTCTTAGAAAGGACTTCAGAAATCAAACCTGTAGTCCATCAGACTTCGTTTATTGGAAAACTCACTTTGTTCTATGTATAAAATAGTCTATGGTACAGTAGACTTTGATCCGAGCGTTTTTTTTATTTCTTCTAGAAAGACTAATAACTTGAGAACAAGCTATACCGCAGCCAAAACTGAGGGGGGAAAGCAATACTAGACAGAGGTTCTTTAAAATGTGTCACTGAAATTTCCAATATTTCCCTAGTTACGTAGCTAAGGCCACAAAGCCTGAGGACTTTTGAAGACTCTAAATAAACATCAAATTAGAAAAATTTCAATGAGTTTTCTGCTCGGAATATGATCAGACACCTCGGTTAACTAGATCATTTACTTCTTGTTTTGCTCAAAAAATGAGTAGCCCCAACCATCTTGAACGAATGTGAGTAAATAAGAGAAACTGGCTTCTATGTAAATTAGCAGAAATTGGTAATCAATGAAAATGCTCTTAAAAAATTTGTCTTTCAATATATTTTAGATAAATTTTCTTCGCATTTTCTTTTCCACTGTTTTGATTTGTATTTTATGTTCTAACTGTTTTTGTAGTTTAAGTTACAAAAATGTTTTTCTCATTGTCGAGTTGTTTAAAATGTTGTGCGCATAGAAAATAAATGCTTATTTTTTCCAAGCTTAAAAAAAAGCTTCATCTTTTACTTAATAATAAGTAAATAAATGCATATATAGCTGACCGATGCGCAATCCAAGAAAGATGACTTTCTTGACTGTCCTCAGTAGTATATTCCGTCAGCTTATCCAGCCATTTGTCAACCTTCAGATATGCATCGTGTCGTCAAAGCATAATGATTGAGGCAAATTATGAATGGTCTATCATCTGTTAAAAATTCTTAGAACTGGCAAAACCAAAAAAAATACTTTGAAAGTATGAAAGGACAATACTTTACAATAATTACAGTATTAAATTCACTGACATGCAAAACAATTAAAAACTATTAAATCCTTGCCAAATACCAACACTTTTCAGAAAAAAAAAACTTCCAGTGGTAAAACAAATTAATAAAAAAAAAGAATGAGCAAAAGTACAGTAAAAAAAAAAAATCACCTCTTGAATCGTGACGCTCGATTTCCTAACCGCGTTATTTCCTTTTTCAAAAAACTTGCGTATCGTCACAGATACATCACCGGTTTGATTCAGATCTTCTGTCACCTCTTCTACATTCCAAGAGTAAAGCTAAACTATTTTTTAAACCAAGAAAGTATAATTCACAATTAAATACAAATTCTCTCAACTTTCTTTCGCAGCTAACCAGAAAGCCAATCACTATAACGTGTGAATTACATGAGAAAAAAGTTTTATCAACTGTTTTTCTTTCAAATTGTAAACTCGCTGATCGCATCCCGGTATAAGAAGTTTTGCTAGCAAATATACATCACCGTCATATCCTTCTAAAGTTATATGGTAGCTTAGTACACAAAAAACAAAAATGTGGACAATAACTTTGAAACCAAAACGCTTCGCAAAAAGAAAAAGATCGCAAACAACTGTGAATTGCAAGGCGAAAGAAAAGAATACTTAGAGTATAAAAATTGCAAAAACTACGTAAAAAGTAACCTTTTCTAACAAACATATCGACGGCACATGATTTGTCGGTATACTTCGACACCTTAGCAATAACGTCACAAAGTTTGCAGAATAGTTTGAAAGAATTAAATTTAGAAACGTCACTACCCTCTCGATTCACCTTACTTTCTTTACTTTCTGTCTTCTGAACCACTTCTGCCTTCTTTTTGTGGGAAGTTGAACCCCTACCCCCACCTTTATTGCCTGCGGTACACTTGTTGATTCGATCAGTACTCTTCTAAAAAGCAATGGGTTCTTCTAGTACCTCGCTAGAAAAATTAGCAACAAAGGAACTTGCCGTCTTAGATCCAGTCCCGTCACCAGAGTGACGTTTTTCCTCACTCGAACCTCCAAAATTCTGTTTTTTGTTTTTCTTCAACGGATCTTTCAATCGTTGATCTTGTAAACCTTTTATAAGATCTAAAACTCTATCCTTATCTTCGTCTGCAAGTTCATGCCAGCCTAAAAAGCCAAAAGTGACGTACAAAAAATTAAGGCTTAAAAAATGTTTCCCTTGCTAAACGCAGATTTCTAAAGCGATAGCAAACAGAATATTAATAAATAAAACACTCATGATAAGTAATACGCCGATACGTTTACCAGTTATATCATCCGATGAATCAATAACTTTTGTGCTAGCACGTGAGTGAGAAAATGTTTCAAAAAGACAGTCCGGGTGAAAGTAGTGTTTGATTTCTGGGGCCTTTGCGCTATCAGAAGCGAAGTAATTCGGTACTAATTTAGCCAGTCTAAGTTCCTCAAAAAGTACTATTTTTAAAAATTTGTTTGGAAGAAACTTATAAAGTCATTAAAATAATCACCCCTTTTACTATCTGCGCGCGACATTTTTTGCAGTTAGATAGCCGTTTCGCGTGATCGACAAGAAATTTCTGGTCTGTAGCCATATTCCATTCGTCTAAACAAAACTGTTTAACATAACAATTAAAGTTGCCACAAATAAAGGGGACCTAGAAAGACCATTTAAAATACCAAAAAAAAAAAAAAAAAA